CTACTTCATTTTCACTTCAGTTTAATTGGCTATTTTACAAAACACACGTACAAATAGTTTTTTTCAGCAGCAAAGCCAAACAATTACAAATCTGATGATATCTGGTATTTTCAGCCCTTCTGTCTTTGCACCAAACTGAGCCCTGCTAGTGACTGTGTGGAAGGTTTCTGTATTTACTGCACAATCTCCACAGGGTTTCTTTTGATGTTCCTCCTCTATACTGGCTTCACCACCACATTTCATATATTTCTGATTATTACTATACAGACGACACTCACCTCTACCCCTCTGTTCCCTTTTAAACGCTGCTTGATGTGCACATTGTGTGTTTCAGTTTGACATCTCCAGCTGGGCGTCTGCCATCCACCTCTTGCTTAATCTTGACAAGACTGAGCGGCAGTTTCTCTCCTCTCTGTCATCATTCACATCACCACAATGCTTCTTGTCAAGACTGACAAGTGTCTGCAGGGAATTATGAAGGTTTGAGGAGTTTCTGGTAGGATGGAAACACATATTTAATTTGTCTAGAAGTCAGTGTTTGATCCAGGACCTTCAGTTAAACTATTCAAAGTTACTGTTGCTCACTTTTACTGTGGAAATCATAGGAGAAATAGTAAAAAACCTACTAGAACGGGTGCATTCTTCTCTTCACAAAAATATTTGTTAACAGGTTTCTCTGTGTTCCCTCATGTAAACATGATATCATAAATACTGTATGAATAAAACCAGGGTAGGACTCAGAACCGAGAGACTGGTGGGTATGTGTCCCCTTGGATTCTCAGAACCGAGAGACTGGTGGGTATGTGTCTCCTTGGATTTCTTGTGCAGATGTTAAACGGGGCTTTTATACTCATGCTAAAGCAAGTTATTAGCCAAAGGTTGTGTAAAATTGCACTCTTTACTGTATTTCTCTTGAAATACTGACTTATTTTGTGTAATATTAGACTATTTACTTCATGTTTTCTGATTAATTTTAATGCCCTTTCCTTCATTGAGATGTCCGAGTTATTTTTCTTTCTTGTTGTTTAGAAATTCCCAGGTTGGTTATGAAACTCAGGCTGGTTATTGTTTGCTTCATCCACCCCACTTTTGAATAATGTTTTTTGTTGGTGAATTGCTCATCTAATCTTTTATAAGGTATTTCTTTTTTTAATTTATACTCTTGACATTTTATGACATGCTCTGTTTGTCTCCTTGTATCTTTTGAGATTTGGTTTCCATTCCCAGTTGTTACAGCCTCTGGCTTTAGTATAAAGATGTGTTGTTTCACACTGTGCAGTTGCTGCCTGATTAAGCTCCATCACCCAAACACTGTCTTTAATAAAGTCAGTGCTGACAGTGTGCAGGACTTTTCTTTATTGATAAATTGGAGGTATTAGTTTCATACTTTCTGCAGCTGTGAGTGAAGGGAAGGATGATTATATTGCAGTTCTTGCTGTAGGGTTTCTGTTTAAATGTTCTCCCAGCGGTGATTTGGTTTCATGAGGCACATGGTATGTTTGATGATGGCAGCACATTACTAAAATGTCTGTGATTTTAAGGCTTAAAAACATAGAGGTGTCACCTCAGTATACAGATTAAAATTCAGTTATGAAGAAATAAAATGTTTTGTATTTTGTCTCAAATATTGAGTAGGATTGCATGTGGTTTCTACGCATGCATATACATTTGGTCATAAATGTGCTTCTCTGTGTGTGTGTGTGTGTGTGTGTGTGTGTGTGTGTGTGTTGCTTCGATGCATATTGTCAAGAACACGCACCTTCCTGTATAAGTGCTGTGAGTCCCATTAGTCCTTGAACAGTGACCCAATGTCCTGTATGTGAATTGGCCATTTCTCCATGCTCTGACAGCTGGAGGCGGGTGTATCGCTGGCTGCCCGGGCAGACAGCTGCTCCTTTCCCCTCGTCCTGCCCTCTAACAGTGGAGCCTTGTGCGGCATCCACCTCTCTTGAATGTCAGCACTCATGTAACTACCTCACACTCACATCACAAGCCCTGTGCGTTTCTCTTCACCACTATTTGTCTGCTCACTCTTCTTCTCCCAGAGGACCAATCTGTTTATCTTCCGCACATTTGCACCTCTCCTTTGTTTATGTTTCCCGTCATATCAACTTTCTGCAAGGTTATAAACTTTACTGCTGCAGAGTGAGAGCTTTGCTGTGCAGTAAACAGCTTCCCACATTCCCACATCCAGAGACATGAGTCATAATTCATCACTTTATATTATATTCTAAAATATCCATTTAAAAGCAACCATGGGCTATAAACTAACTTTTCTTTTGTCAGACTCTCTCCTAAAAGTAAGCAAAGAAAAAAAAGCTTCCAGCTACTATTATTTAGTCATCAAACGGATCCACATACTGTACAGTCTTTTCTTCAAAGATACAGTGAGAGCACTTGTGGTATCGGGTGGGTGTGATATTCTAACTTCATATTTAGGAATGCAGCCTGTGTGTATTCTTGTTATAGAGGACAATTATCTTGTGGGTGAAAATAAGCACCTTAGACATGGTTGAACTTGTGCTCAGAAGCATGACACCATGTCAAGTCCAGTCGAGGAATGCAGAGGAATGCCAGTGCAGGTTAGGCTCCCGCATCAAGACACGAGGGGTAGGCTGATCCTGTCAGCTCGTCTTCACAGGAGGAGCGGTCACACTCTGCTCACAACAGAGTGATGCTGAACCCAGAGTTCAGAGGACAGTGCTATACTGTAGAGGCACTGAGAGGGCTAAAGATGCATTCCTCTTCAACATAAATATAAAGAAAAAGAAAAAGAAACAGGATGAAAGAAAATTGAAATTTAAATCAGGTTCAATAGAAACAAACTCTCACACTCAAGGTGTTTCCTCATGGGCAGATGATCAGTTAATCTATAGAGAATATAAGCTTCATATATTTAATGTTTCTAATAATAACAGTAATACAAATGCATTTTTATAATGCACCTTTACAGGAAAATAAAAACAAGACGATGGCAAACACAGTCACAAACAAACACACACAGATTCAAAGGCTATACAACATGTCTCTGTAGAGCAGATTAAAAGCTAATCCACTTAAACATGCTAAACATATTTTATGCATGAGCATATTTGTTATCTTTTCATCTCATTTTAAATGTCTTATTATAACATGTATCACAGAAGGGTGCAATGAGATCCACAGGGAAACTTCACAGTTTCCCACCTCAGCTAGCTAATGCATGCACTTTCTCCATCCAGTCCTTCCAGTGTTTTGATTATTCTTGCCTGAAACCTGCATATGTTGCATCACATGAATGTCATCTTAACTAGCAGGAGTTACAGTAGATTGCACGGCTACTTTGATGCTGCTCTTAGCGCATTTGTCGTGTTTGGCTACCTGGTGTCGTGTGTCAAATGCAACAGCTTATTAATTTGGGGTTAGGTTTCACACAGAGGGTATGAAGGACAGTCAAAGACAAAATAAGTGGTTAAATCAGCAGTAGCTTCGTTTGATCCCTGAACCTTTCATCACCATTATTAGGTGACGTTTTGAACTAGAATGAACATTGTACCTGATAAACATCAGTAACTTGGCACCGTCACTGTGACCTGTGTTAGCAAGTTGATGTTAGCATTTAGTTCACACCACAGCTGTGCCTAAGTGCATGGTTGTAGACTTTAACACGCTCATAGTGAAGGTGAACACTAGGGAAACTGTGGTGTTTTCACTTACAAAATAACCTGAAAATATAGAGTAACCTGTGAATAATCAAGGCATTTCACCCAGTTTGTTAATGAGTAAATAAATAGTGTGCAATATTTAGAAAATTTAATTCACAGTACTTGGCACTGTCATCCATTTGGACAATACTGTATTCAAAACCTATAATCCTCCTTCCTCTCTCTTTCTGAAGCAGTAAAAACACACAGAGCATAATTTACATTGCTCCGGCCCACACAAACAGCAGTGTGCGAAAAAAAATTATTAGAGAAGAACGAGCTCTCACAACCTAGAAATGCTTGTATGTCAGGCTGAGACTTTGAACCTTGATGTCTTTTAAATACAAATCCTCGCCAGAGGTCATGTGCCTTTCACACATGTGAGAGCATGTTTCCTCAAATTCAGCGACTTTGAATGCTTTAAAGTTACTGTACGTGTGTGTGTGTGAGTGGTTGAGTGCACACATACATATGACTGTGGTTATTGTTTTGTTCTTTGTCTCTGTGTGGGAACCTTTGGTGATTTGTTTGATGCCAACCAACCGGTTGATCCAGCTTTTTCAGATGTCTCATTTAGAGGAAGTGTCTTTATTTGAATCCCGCTTTTACTATCTCCCACACTTCATTTATAATGTTTTCTTTGCTAAGCTCTTTGTTTTCAAAGACAGCGAGTACTAGCTTATTCCTTTCAATGGTGCGTTAAGGCTTCATATTCAAAATTCTGCATCAAAGCACAGAGGTTATTGTAATAGTATCTATGATAAACAGGGTGACAGTCATTTTTATGGCAGCAGTTTCTAATGCACACCCCCCACTCTTTAATTTATATTCTTGCACTCTCATTCTCTGCCTTACCCTGCATGGCCCGTCCTCTTGCATGTGCATTTGGAATGTAAATGATCATGCTGGGGGTCAAAAGGATAAGGTCACCCATTTTCATGCAATGCTCAATAGTCAAATTTCAAGGCAAATACCAGGATCTTGCAGCCAGCATGCACACAATTAAGTAACCTGGATTTCTCAACGTGAGTGGTGGTTGAGAAAAAGCTAGTTAGAATCTGAATCTGCGTTATTGGCCAGGTGTGTTGAACACATGAGGAATTTCATTGTTTCATTTCAAATTCTGATTTCACTCATTTTATGGTACTGAAGGAGGAAAACAATTGTTTGCTGTCAGTCGTGTTTATGTGCTGGATGGAAGAATTTCTGTGCTCGGTGTTTAATCTAAAGTCCAGAAAGCTTCCTGTAGAGTAGTCTGAGGGTAATTACACATCTGAAGCCCCTCATGTAACAACATAATCTTTGTCCCACTAACAGGGTGCCCAGCAGGAGAATGGGGAAGGCACTCAGAAGACAGGACAAGGATCAGATTTAAATGTAAGTCATTTGCTCCACACAGGTGGAGGTGTACACACACTAATGCCAGTTAATGTTATTCCTTGTGTGGTCAGTAGGGATACAAATTTAAGCCTTTTCTTTTCTCACTTTTTCTTCCACGGAGCAATTTACAGTACAGCCTTAAATGGTAATGAATTCAGTGCAGTCAATACACTGTAATCCCTCCAATTATGCATAAAATCTTGTTGGCATTCTGTGCTGGAGGTCATCAGTGGGTGGCATTCGTAAGAGCAAATGTCAGAGATGGGGGTGTAAGTAAAAAATATTGGGAAACGTAATGGAAAAATGAATGATTCTAGTTAACATTCTCTAAAGACACTTTGAAAAGGCCACTGTTGAAGAACATGTTACCAAATAGCACCATTTTCCCCAGCTTAATAAAATGCACTCCAGCATATATCCTAACTTCTGCAACCACCCCCACCTCCAAAGCAGAAACCTACAGGGAATCATGACATTGCTAAGTCTGGAGTTGGACATGCAGCTAATGTGCATTATTGCACTAAAACCATTTCAGTCAACAGAGAGAGACTGTTGTCTGCTCTGTTTGTTAGTCAAGATGAAGTTGATCCTACATTTAGGTGCTACATTATATGAACATATGTTTTCTCACCTGTATCAGTTAACAGTGCTACTGTGAAAAGTTTGCCATGTTTTAAGGTGAATCTATCATGGCATCATGGCCATGACAGTGATGATGATGCCATATGTTTGATCCTTCATCAGAAATAATTACTGCATTCAGAAAATTGAGTGTTAGTAACCACTCACAGTCAGAAAAACAGGGATTATAATATAGGGTGACACCTTCTGACGTGTGATTGTGGATTCATATGGGAGAACTGCTGACAAATACATTGGAAATAAGCCTGAAGGAATATAAGGATTATACAACTGATGGATGAAAATATATTACACAGGAATAGAAACATCCCAACATATATCAAAAATGGGATGCATGGAGGCTGTGAAAAATGAAAGGATGTTAGGGAAACAAAAGAAGGTGATTTTGGAAGCTGAATGTTGCAGTGAAGCCTCAGTTAGACGCTAGTATCAGAGGAAGTCTCGCCTGGGTGTTCAACTTAACAACAGAACTGATGATAGCACGCAGCCACTGGACATGAGAGGGCAGACACCTGCTCTTTATGATGAGTCTAAATCTGTATGAAGAGCTGACATGTTTTTCTGACAGTATGAGCATGCAGGATCTGACACCATGTGACTCACTGACACCACAGTGGGCTGATGCAGCTTTAAAGCACATTCAGCCTCAATATCATCACCCTAAAATGCAGCAGAGCGTGTTAGGAGCTCTGCTTTGTGCCGGCAGGCAGCGAAGTCAGCCCAAGAAGTTTCACCTTCTGCCACTGCTGAGCGTACTGCATCCCTGGCATGGCCGTGTTTTATAATTTTTTTTCTTTCCTCTGTCCTCCGCTTTGGATTCATCCATAAACTAGAAAGAGTTTTTAAATGTCTCTGCTTGTGAAAAGTACATTACATATGTTTAAGTGGTTCCACAGAACACCATGTATGGAAAATGAGTAGGCATCGACAAGCACAGATAAAGCTATTCTCTTCAACACAGCTATTCAGTTGGCAGAGGCAAACACGAGGAGTGCCCATGAAAATGTGACTCCAATTTTGGTGATTTTCATGTTTTCGCTTCAGCCAAAGAATTACATGCTCTTCTGCAGCCTAAGAAACTTCTAGCATATGTGGTCTTATGAAGTCCTTTGAAATCTCACTGGATAAAGTGAAAAATATGCCTGGTGGTCATGCTTAAATCAGGACATCTTTCCAACTCTGCAAAGTTGGAACTTTTGAGTGTTTTCAATCAACAGTGGAGATATACACTGTAGCATGCTCTTTGAAATCAGATGATGGACACATACAGTATGTACAGTACAGCAAACGTGTCATTACGCCTGTTTGTCTGATAGCTGCTGTCGAAACAGATTTAGATGACTGATGTAATGTGCACAGAGAAATGAGACATGAATTTATGTTTAGGTGCAGAATTTATATAGAAACTTTCAGAGAGCAGGACGTGACGCAGTCACGTTGCCAGTTTATAATTTCTTGCCGTTGAATTTTCTGATGATTTCAGTGTTGGCGCTTAACGACATAAGTTCCTGAATCATGTTGTGTCCCCAGTTAGACATTGTCTTTGGTGTCTTCATTGTAAATGATCGTTCTTCTTCACCATTGGATGTTTGTGTTCTTGCGGTTTCACGCCGCTCACATGATAGAACGTCGTCAGTACGCCCACTAGCTCAGTGCAAATACTCCAGACTATAAACTTCTGTTTTCTCACACAGCCTTACTCAGGCATTACCAAGACTTTGCACTAGGGAGCTGGCAGGGTAAAGTCCACTTCTTATCCAGGCAAACTGACTCGGACATTTGCGTTTTCACACACAGCTCCCCTTGGTTATGTTTAGACCATTTCAGTGCACGTCTGAAAAGGCTTGTAGAGTTGTTGAGCTCAGCGTGCCCAACTCTATAGCCAAAGATTACCTCTAATGGAAGCTTAGCTGTGACCTAATGCCAAAAACAGTTCCAAGGAATCAAGTTTTAGGGTCAGATGGTGAAAATGATTGGGAGAGATGCAACAGCATATAAATCAGAATAGATTAAAATTAACAGCAAAGCAAAAAATAAAAAAAAAATGGGACCTGAGGATGTAGGAGTGATCCTCATATTCATTACCCCCAACTTCTGGGCAGGTGGCTCTTACAATAAGTCCTGCTGAGTGAAGTACTTGTGTGACATTAATAGTTGTGATAAGGCTGTAATAAGAGACAGGGTGGTGGAATATAGAGATGGGGGAATGCAGGAGGAGAAGAAGAAACGCACTGTGAGAGAAAGGAGAGGAAAAGCACAGACTCTGAGAGAGAAACCCACCTGGCCGCCTGCCAGCGGGATGTCAGCGGTCTCTAGATTAGTGGCTATACATTACCCCAGCCTATTAAAATATTATGCCCACTGATTGATGCTGACAGCCTGACCAGAGGGTGGTGGCTGTGTGGGCAAATGTGTCTGTCTTCATTCAGGTCCTGCTGCCTACAAATCACAGTTCTATTGCCAAAATCCTGCATATGACGTGATTGTGGCTTTCCCGAGGATCTCGGAGACAGATTTTTAAGAGATGTACTCTTAGAATCTACAGAGGGCAAACAAACCATTGGTGTGCATCCCTGTTTTACAAAGTGATGACTTTTCAAGAGTTTCTTGGTGGAAATCAGTTTGCTAGCACATCCTGCTTAATCACAGTGGTGCCTTGTGTTGTTACGAGCCGAGGTCAGAGAACAGACTGACGCTGCAGCACAACAAACTCCGTGACCTTTCTTTATTTATAACAACCTCGAGGAATGACCCCTGTCCTCCCATGTCAGCCAAATCTGCCAAACAATTACAGGCAGGCAGTGTGGTAACTGAATGTACAGCCAGTTGAGATGTGGTGATGGACAGATTCCCATTAACCAAATCCACTTATTGCAGTTCTCCCTAGGGCAAGTTATGTTCAGACAGAGCCTAAGCCACCTACAAAGCAGTTTGACGCCCACGCTCACTAAGTAAACCAAAAGATTTACAGTGTCATTCACTGCATGTTTACTGTAAAAGCAGTCTGCAGTGTAGTCGTGTTGTTTTATGCTTCATCTTTGACCAGGCAAATGTCACCTGTGTTAGGAGCTGGTACATTTCAGTTGAGGCAATTTGTGTGGGTGAATGTTTGTGCGTGGTCCTAGAGAGGGATTCAAGGCCAAGGAGGCAATCCCCTCTATTAAATACAAACACCATCCTCATGCTGAGCACTTTTAAAGGGTGGCTGTTTGATTGCATGTGCTTGTTTGAACTTCCAACCTTGTCCTGTTGTGGCCATTTCAGCTGAGTGACCCTGCTCAAGGC